AATAGCAAAATCCAAAGAATTAGCTCTATAAGTGGAAAAAGCACACAAGGTTGGAAGTGCTCTCAGATGAAGAATCTTGTTAAGCTGTAGATGAGACATGAAGGGATGGTAAAAAGGATTTCAAAGACATATGGGACCCCTAGACACCAGAGATGTTTCAAAAATGGCAGCCTGCAACCTTGGAATTAACTGCATTACTGGATATCTGAAACTATTTTCTTACAATATTTCCCCCGAAAAATATCAGTTCACTCAAACAAGAACTTTCACCCTGACAAGAAATACTTCTTTGCCACACATTGTAACTGTCACAGTAAACCAAACCGTAAGCAGACTGAAGTGGTGTGCAATTTACAAAGTGAGGTCAAAAGCAGCTTGAAAGAAAAACGCTTCTAATAAACATTTATTTCCCAAATAGGAAAAAAAATACCTCTAAAAAGGGTTAATCTGCTTTTAAAAGTATCTATATTTTTATCTAGAATGTTTATCCATTGCTGCTTTTTATCAGCAGCTACATCTACAACTCAAAGTGCAGACATGACTGTAACGCTTGCTAGTAAAATCTAACTAAAATAGGTACCGAAAAACCGCAAATGGCCAGACCGGAACCCTTCAGGTGCGTGACTAAGAGGAGCACGGAGGCAATAGCAGCCTGTGCTACACATCATTCAGAATAAATTCACGTGCATTATAATTAGTCTCCAGGTGACAGTTTTTACACCAGCCTGGAGAACAGAGGAAGCTACCATATTGTGCAGCTTCTGGTTTTACTAACATTTGGATGGAACAAACAACTTTCAAATTTGCTCTATGTTTACTTGCATCAAAACTAAAAAAAAAGCAAACCAAAAAAACCCACACATGCCACCCAACCAAAAAAACCCACCACAAAACGACCCCAGCACTGATAGTTTGACTCTGGAAAAGTTCTTGTCTCATAAAATAAACGCAAAAATAAGATGCATTAAAAGCGTAGTTGAAAACGAGCCCATATTTAAGTGTTTAAGACTAACAAAATCCAATTCAGGCATTCTGATAACATTACCATCTAAATTTGTAATCCCAGTCAATTTTATTTATACCTGTAAAATCCATTTCAAGTATTTGATGCTGACATGTATTTTAACACAGAAAATAAAAAGTTAGCTTTCCTTTGACTACATTTTCCTCAAAGTAAGAGGAGCAAACTGCTTTAGATATTATCTTTGTATAATGAAAGTAGTTCGTGTTGGCAAAAGCAGAATGCTCTCTCTTTACTTACTGCTTGCTTTGAGACTTCTAGACTAATTCATTTTAACAAGTGTCTTAACAGTGCCACACCCACACGATACTAACCTATACTGCTAGGTCTTTTAATAAATTTATATTTAATTTTTATGCAAGTTTTCTGAGCATTTTCCACAGCCTGACTACTCCATGCAGTATTTCCAAAGAACAAGGAAAGAACGCACCAAAAGTTTGGAAGTCCACATGACTAATTACTTAATGGTATAAATTACTTATTGGGGGGGGGGGGATTAATTTAGCAACTTTCTACATCATTTGCCCAAAGTAAGCTGAACATTGCACGGACTTTTATTAGAAAGAAAAAAACCCAAGAGAATATATTAACCATACATACTTTTCATCAGATAAAACAAGGAGGGACTAATTCAATCAACAAATACTTAACCTCCAAGTAAACAAAATCTTTCACTTGAAGAAATTAAATAGGCAAAATCTGAACCATATGATGCAGAAAGAGCCACAGCTGACATAAACCTGACTTCACTTGGAAGCTTTTCCAAACATATGCAATACAGTGGCTAAAACTGCGAAGTTACTCCACGTTAAAAAAAAAAAAAAAAAGTTGAGCATTTGTGCTTACTCTTTGCAGTTTCAGCACTTGAGAGCTCCAGCTTTGAACCAATAGCTACTACGCTGTCGTCCCAATCACACCAATCTGAGCGGAGGGTAAAGTGAAACCAAAGAGACAGAGCATGGACAGGAGAGAAGGAGCACACAGCAAGCACTGCAGGAGACTCTCAGCACACTCCCAATCTGCCCAGTACGCTGGTTAGCATAGGTAACCAAATGTTTTCCATCAAGAATAGACTTGCATTAAAACATCAGTTTACATATTTATCATGTTACACCATACTCCTAATAAAAGATGGCTTCCAATTAGAAACAGTTGTCTTGTACAAAAAAACCCACCCCACTAAGCTGTGGACAAAAACATACCACTGACTTTTGCTTAATATAAAAAGCAGATCTCATTTAATAAGATCACAGAGATTCTGAAGTCTGGCTGCAAATATGCAAGCAGTCACACTGTGAAAGCTCTTGCAGATGATAAACAGCATGATAAATCCAAGGCAAGTCATAACAAATAAAATGCTTATACTGAAAAAATAGATACGTAAGAGATACTGCATCAACTAATGAATTAAAATTTGGATTAATTCATTGGTAGCAGGGTACAGTGAAAATAAAGTATCAACAGACAACCTCCTGTCTGCATCTTGCTCTCTATAGACTCAGCATGCCAAAACACATCCTGTGCGCAGCTGCAAACATTTGCAATGACCACAAGAGAATAATAAAGAGAAAAAGGAAATCCCGGGGGGAGGAAATAACTAAATTTATCTAGAGTTTTTCCATGTTTAGTCTTAAAAATGCAAACTCATAATTGAATTATGTTATACCTACATTAAAAGTCATTGGATAAAATTATGACTTCTTCAATGTTAGATATAATCCTCCTTGACAACTGATAAAAAAAAAAAAGGCACTTGGAAAGGACAGATGCTTCATTTTGATGATTAAAATAATCCTGCTATAGACACTAACAAGTTTGCAATCGAACTGGTGTTTTTAAGCATCTACCCAAGGATGATTTTTGTTAGATTGGTACATCTAATATATTTTAGTTCTGTGATTAAAAAAAAAAAAATTAAGAATTAAAGCAATAGAGATTCCTTTTTCTACGCAGAGCAGAAAAGGACTCATTAATTTCATTGGGATAAACTGAAATATTATTTATTTTAGCTTTGAATTTAATGTTTTCTCCTTAAAGGCTTTAAATGAAGAATGTTTGTCCAAAATTAAAGTTAACAAAAAAAGTCTGGTTTAAGTTGCTGAAGACTTCGTGCATTTCCCAAAGAAAGTCTGCAATGGTGAAACTAAACGTTGAAACATTATGTTGAAACTTTGAAATTGCATAAACTAAAAGACCAATCACACAGTTTCTTATATGTGCCTATAAAATAATACAGAGGATGGATTACTACTCAGGACCTTGTACAGTATTTCTGAAGTCCCAGAAGCTGTATTTTCAACTAATTTAGACAAGCAAATGTCCATCAGACTCATGCAATCAACACATTTTCCGGGCAGAAATTTCAAGCCAGGTACTAAACGACGACTGAGAAACAAGAAGGGACCCTGTCCTGTCCCACCCATGCACCCTCAAAACCCTACCCCAGCTCAAACCCTCCCTCACAACCAGGGCCCAACTCTGGTGTCGGTGACAGCGCGAGCTTCCCCTGCACGCAGGAGTAGGAGCTCTGCTGTACACAGAAGGTGGCTTATTTATCATTAACGTCACAGATTCAACCTACGGGTGCAAGTGGGTTTGTCCTCTACTCAGAAATGCTGCACAACACACGTACACACACCTTTTTTTTAATAAACATATATCAAGCAGGAAAAGGAAAAACAGAACGACTGGAAGGTGCTGTGCATCTTGGACGGCTTCTGACACGCATTCCAGTAAGATATCAACTGATTCCTATAATGGAATTCCAAAATATATTTGTGTGTGTGTATAGGAATATATATATTCCTAACTGCATTCTTATTATTCCTAATTATATTGTACGCTCTGTGCATTTAGTGTTACAATATAGACTGTGATGTATTAGAATCATTTAAGAGACACCACAGGTCATCATGGGTCTTCAGAACCTATTTGCAATTATTAAAAAAATTATATATATTAAACCACAACCCTCCAACTAGCACAACTCTTTTTCTGTGTTAAGGATGAAGCATTTCCCCCTCCTTCCCTAAACACTTCAGCTACTGGCAAGCCACAGATATTCTTAAAATCCTGGAAGAGTATTTTTTCCATATCCCACTAAGGAATTATTTTGTTCATGCTTTCCATACTGAAAAATTACTTCTGGGATGACACAACATAGAGAAAATTCATCCCAAAAGAGAACGTTTTCATGAAGACTGGAACCCATGAAAGGTCATGACAAGATATCCAATTGAAATATTAACTGCAAGAATATCACAGTGCTGAAGTATTTATACTAAATAGAAGTTATGATTTGAAAATCTGTGGAAAAAACCCATGTCTGGAATGTT